CCAATATCATGGACTCAGAAGTGTGACATAAAGGTGACAATCCCAGTCACTGGGCCAGCTGTATGAGCAGCCAGTCTCACTGTACACTTTTTGAACAAGCCCCCTCTGTGCCACTCACCGTGTTGTAGTTCCAGATGGTTTTCCAGGACAAATGGTTGCTCTTTTGCTCCATAATTGCCTTCTGTGTTTGGCTATTGATGCTTATGCTTTGTGAGACACCAGAGATGGAGATATGGGAGCCCCCACCAGAGATGGAGATGTGAGAACCTCCATCAGTGATGATTTGTTGGTTGTTATCTGACTGTTGAGATAAGAAAACCGCGTGAAATATTTTAAGACTGTGCAAGTAGCTAGGTCTCACAACATATATTTACAAAAAATCCCTGCAAGAAAAGAATTAGTGCTCTGGTATAGGGAGGGACGGCAGTAGAGATGTATTTAAAAATGAGGAAGAGATATTTAAAATAAAAAACAAAAAACAAGGCTGTGGCATTCGGCAGAGGCCAAAAGAATTCGTTTCATGGATTCAGTGGAGCATTGCTACATCTGACAGCTCTCATCTGCTGCCTTTAGAGTTTGATGCATGCTAGAGCACTGGCCAGAGGAAATTTACACTCAAGGGCTTGGATGGAAAGCTCTGCGCTCTCATTGATCTCTTTCAGCATCTGCGCCATCTCAAAAGAGGAGATGCCTGGCAAGAAGAGCATTAGGATTGACTTTGGGCAGTAGCTCAGGATCCACACATTTGGTTCAAGAAATCTAAGGGCTAAGGTTTTCTCACCGGGAAATTGCCGTTCCAATTGCCGTTCCAGCTGCCGTTGCCATTCCAAATGCCATTCCAGTTGCCGTTGCCATTCCAAATGCCATTCCAGCTGCCATTGCCGTTCCACTGGTTGTTCCACTGGTTGTTCCACTGGTTGTTCCAGTTGTTGTTGCCGATGCCATTCCAATTGTCGTTCCAGATGCCATTGCCATTCCAATTGTTGTTCCAGTTGTTGTTGCCGACGCCATTCCAATTGTCATTCCAGATGCCATTGCCATTCCAATTGTTGTTCCAGTTGTTGTTGCCGATGCCATTCCACTGGTTGTTCCAGTTGTTGTTCCAATTGCCATTCCACTGGTTGTTCCAGTTGCCATTCCACTGGTTGTTCCAGTTGTTGTTCCAGTTGCCATTCCACTGGTTGTTCCACTGGTTGTTCCAGTTGCCATTCCACTGGTTGTTCCAATGGTGGTTCCAGTTGCCATTCCACTGGTTGTTCCACTGGTTGTTCCACTGGTTGTTCCAGTTGCCATTGCTACTGCAGTACTGCAGTTCTACAACTCTCAGGACATCCAGGGTAATGCATGATCCCAGATTCACCTGGGGGCCTTGGAAAGCTGGAAAAGAGAAAACCCCATGAGCGGATGCCTAAAACCTTGACTGACGGTCTGCAAGGGGGTTTCTTTGGGTTTTGAGGTGGAAGAGCAGCATCTGTGCCTGAGTCACACCCCAAGGGAAAATAAGGCCAGGTCAGTAACACTCAGAATTGCCATGCTTGCACTCACTGTGAACTTCGGTAGCCATGTAGGTGGTGACTCCACTGCACATAGCCGCAATCTCAGTTCCGTAGGAGTAGAGGTTGTTGACCAGTCCATTGGTGACAAAGGTGATCTTCTTGGTGTGTTTTCCAAAAATGCCAATCAGGTTCTATACATAGAAAAACAGCAGTCAGCAAGCTCATTGCTGATGGCTGGTTCCTGCTAGGTGTATTCGTAGCTTGGGGAGGAGGACTCTGGGCTGGTGTTTGATTCCCAGCTGTTTGATTGCCAACTGGGACATCTTTTAATCCCCTGGGGGGGCTTGTGGGACCACTAGCAAGCCTTGAAGAGAGCTTCAAAGGCAGAGCTTGTTCTACAGGAGTCAAGGTCTAGGGCACTTGAGGGGAAGGGGCAGCACAACAAAAGCACTGAAGGGAGCTACAGAGAACAGGTATCCCCAGGAAACTGCACAGCTCATCATTCTCTCCAGGTAAGTGGGGGAGAGAATAATGTCAGCCCTTTCTTTTGGCAAAGCATTCCTACAATAAATTCCTAACCAGCATTACTGTCCAGTGAAAGGAAAGTCTGCCACTAGGGACTACTTGATCTTCTCCGGGAAGAAGAAACCCATGAAGAAATGGGTGAGTGATCTCTGGGGCCAGGAAGCTGCTCCTCCTCCTGAACCTTACCCTGCTCTCTTGTGCCAGGCGGGCCAGGTTATCAAAGCGGGGCATCTCGCTTCTGTTCATGATGGAAATGAAGCAGGCGTTCTGTTGCCTGACTTTGGTTGCAATGACACCCTGTAAAAGAAAAGGATTCAGCACCCACAGTTCTGTTTTTTCTGACTGTTAAGGATGGGATAAATTCATCATGGAAATCATAATGAATTCTGAGTGTTAGTGTCCCAAAATGTGGGCTCCTAACACTCAGAATGAAGGAACAATCGCCATCCCTGGGCCAGCTGTACCAGCAGCCAGGCTCCTTGGATGCTTTTGAAGGAGCCCCCTCCCTGCCACTCACCGTGTTGTAGTTCCAGATGGTTTTCCAGGACCCGCTGATGTTCCTTTGCTCAATGACGGCCACACGCCATTGCCTGTTGATGGTCACAATTTGGGAGTGGCCACCAATGATGACCTGAGTGTGATTGAAGATGCCGCTGGGAATCTGCTGAGTCTGAAAAGCCAAGGGAAAGCAGAGGGTTTGCCTTTGAAGGAAGACAGTGATGTCCCCACATTTGCTGAACAATCCCTGCTGCAATAGAAGAAGTGGTGCCTCCCTTGGGAGTGCCAGCCCTGCACTCAGTTTTATCCAAGGGACCCAGAATCAAGGCTGTGGCAGTGGGGAGAGACCAGAAGAATTCTTTTGATGGATTCAGTGAATCATTGCTGCACCTGAGAGCTGCCATCTGCTGCCTTTAGAGGTTGATGCATGCTAGAGCACTGGCCAGAGGAAATCCCCGCTCAAGGGCTTGCTTGGAAACTCCTGCTCACCCATTGCTCTTTAAAGGCATCTGAACCTTCAGGCAGGAAGCTCTCAATCAGGAGATGCCAGGCAAGAAGGGCATCAGGTCTGGCTTTGGGCAGCTGATCAGGTTTCCCCCATTTGGTTCAAGAAGGCTAAGGGCTAAGGTGTGCTCACCGGGAAATTGACACTGCCATTGCTATTGCAGTACTTCAGCTCGACAGCACTCAGGACATCCAGGGTAATGCATGATCCCAGAGTCACCTGGGGTCCTTGGAAAGCTGGAACAGAAAAGACAAAACCCCATGAGCTGATGCTTGGCTGAAAACCTTGCCTGACCTTCTACAGGAGGGATTCTTTGCGTTTTGAGGTGGACGAGCAGCATCTGTGCCTGAGTCTCGCTCCAAGGGAAAATAAGGCCAGGTCAGTAACACTCAGAATTGCCATGCTTGCACTCACTGGTAACTTCGTAAGCCATGTAGGTGGTGACTCCGCTGCACATAGCCGTGATGTCTATTCCATAGGAGTTGAGGTTGCTGACCAATCCATTGGTGACAAAGGTGATCCTCTTGTTCGGTCTTCCAAAACCACCAATCAGGTTCTAAACATCAGAAACCAGCATTCAGCAAGCTCAGGGCAGAGAGGTGGCTCCTGCTAGGCATGTTCCTCTGCAATGATGACTCAGGGCTGGGTCTTTGTCTCCCAACTGCATTTCAGGAGGCCTTTAAATACCCTGGGGGCCCTGTGGGACCACCAGCAAGCCTTGAAGGCAGCTCAACCGGTAGAGGTAATTCTAAGGGCATCAAGGTGAATGGAACTTGAGGGGAAATGGCAGTGCAAAGAATGCCTTTAAGGGCTCCACAAAGAACGGGTTTGCCCTGCAACCTGAATGCCTCAAAAACCTCTGGGAAAGTGGGGGAGGGAATAATGCAGCCCCTTTCATTTGGAAAAGCATTCCTACAACAAACTCCTAATCTGCATTACTTTTGAGAGATAGGAAACTCTGCCACAAGACACAACCTGATCCTGCCCACAAAGAAGCAGCACGTGAAGAAATGGCACAATGATTTCCCGGGCCAGGAACCTGCTGCTCCTTTGGAACCTTACCCTGCTCTCTTGTGCCAGGTGGGCCAGGTTATCAAAGCGAGGCATCTCATTTCTGTTCATGATGGAAATGTAGCAGGCGTTCTGTTGCCTGACTTTGGTTGCAATGACACCCTGTAAAAGAAAAGGATTCAGCACTCAAAATTCAGTTTCTTCCAAATATTCATGTTGGCATAATGTCGGGTTGGAAACCATAATGAACACTGAGTTCCACTGCCACACACTGTGGAGTCCAAACATTCAGAATAAAGGAAAAATCGCCATCTCTGGGCCTGCTGTACCAGCAGCCAGACTCCATGGATGCATTTTGCTCCGTGCCACTCACCGTGTTGTAGTTCCAGATGGTTTTCCAGGACCCACTGAAGCTCCTTTGCTCAATGACGGCCACACGCCATTGCCTGTTGATGGTCACAATTTGGGAGTGGCCACCAATGATGACTTGAGTGTTGTTGAAGATGCCGCTGGGAATCTGCTGAGACTAAAATGCCAAGAAACAAGAGATATTTTGTCTTTGAAAGAAGACAGTGTTGTCACCAAATCTTCCAAAAAAACCCTTGCTACAATGGAACAAGTGCTGGCCCTGAGGTCATTCCCATTGGTTCCCCCACTCTTTTCTAAAGGGCCCAGAATCAAAGGAGTGGCAGTGGGCAGAGGCCATAAGAATTCTTTTCATGGATTCAGTGAATCATTGCTGCATCTGAGAGCTGTCATCTGCTGCCTTTAGAGGTTGATTCCTACTAGAGCAGTGGCCTGAGGAAATGGATGCTCAAGGGCCTGGATGGAAAGCTCTGCTCTCTCACTGCTCTCTTTCAGCGTCTGCACCCTCTCAAAAGCGGAGGTGCCGGGCAAGAAGGGCATCATGTTTGGCTTTGGGCAGCAGCTCAGGATCCGCCCATTGGTTACAAAAAATCTAAGGGTTAAGGTGTTCTCACCGGGAAATTGTTGTTCCAATTGCCGTTCCAGTTGCCGTTCCAATTGCCATTCCAATTGTTGTTCCAGTTGTTGTTGCCAATGCCATTCCAATTGTTGTTCCACTGGTTGTTCCAGTTGCCATTCCACTGGTTGTTCCAGTTGTTGTTCCAGTTGCCATTCCACTGGTTGTTCCACTGGTTGTCCCACTGGTTGGTCCAGTTGCCATTCCACTGGTTGTTCCACTGGTTGTTCCAGTTGTTGTTCCAGTTGCCATTCCACTGGTTGTTCCAATGGTGATTCCAGTTGCCATTCCACTGGTTGTTCCACTGGTTGTTCCAATGGTGGTTCCAGTTGCCATTCCACTGGTTGTTCCACTGGTTGTTCCACTGGTTGTTCCAGTTGCCATTGCTACTGCAGTACTGCAGCTCGACAACTCTCAGGACATCCAGGGTTATGCATGATCCCAGATTCACCTGGGGGCCTTGGAAAGCTGGAAAAGAAGAGGCAAAACCCCATGAGCTGATGCCTAAGACCTTGACTGAAATTCTGCAGGAAGGTTTCTTTGGGTTTTGAGGTGGAAGAGCAGCATCTGTGCCTGAGTCACACCCCAAGGGAAAATAAGGCCGGGTCAGTAACACTCAGAATTGCCATGCTTGCACTCACTGTGAACTTCGGTAGCCATGTAGGTGGTGACTCCGCTGCACATAGCCGCAATCTCAGTTCCGTAGGAGTAGAGGTTGTTGACCAGTCCATTGGTGACAAAGGTGATCTTCTTGGTGTGTCTTCCAAAAATGCCAATCAGGTTCTATACATAGAAAAACAGCAGTCAGCAAGCTCATTGCTGATGGCTGGTTCCTGCTAGGCGTATTCGTAGCTTGGGGAGGAGGACTCTGGGCTGGTGTTTGATTCCCAGCTGTTTGATTGCCAACTGGGACATCTTTTAATCCCCTGGGGGGGCCTGAGGGATCACTAGCAAGCCTTGAAGAGAGCTTCAAAGGCAGAGCTTGTTCTACAGGAGTCAAGGTCTAGGGCACTTGAGGGGAAGGGGCAGCACAACAAAAGCACTGAAGGGAGCTACAGAGAACAGGTGTCCCCAGGAAATTGCACAGCTCATCATTCTCCAGGTAAGTGGGGGAGAGAATAATGCCAGCCCTTTCTTTTGGCAAAGCATTCCTACAATAAATTCCTAACCAGCATTACTGTCCAGTGAAAGGAAAGTCTGCCACTAGTGACTACTTGATCTTCTCCGTGAAGAAGAAACCCATGAAGAAATGGGTGAGTGATCTCTGGGGCCAGGAAGTTGCTCCTCCTCCTGAACCTTACCCTGCTCTCTTGTGCCAGGCGGGCCAGGTTATCAAAGCGGGGCATCTCGCTTCTGTTCATGATGGAAATGAAGCAGGCGTTCTGTTGCCTGACTTTGGTTGCAATGACACCCTGTAAAAGAAAAGGATTCAGCACCCACAGTTCTGTTTTTTCTGACTGTTAAGGATGGGATAAATTCATCATGGAAATCATAATGAATTCTGAGTGTTAGTGTCCCAAAATGTGGGCTCCTAACACTCAGAATGAAGGAACAATCGCCATCCCTGGGCCAGCTGTACCAGCAGCCAGGCTCCTTAGATGCTTTTGAAGGAGCCCCCTCCCTGCCACTCACCGTGTTGTAGTTCCAGATGGTTTTCCAGGACCCGCTGATGTTCCTTTGCTCAATGACGGCCACACGCCATTGCCTGTTGATGGTCACAATTTGGGAGTGGCCACCAATGATGACCTGAGTGTGATTGAAGATGCCGCTGGGAATCTGCTGAGTCTGAAAAGCCAAGGGAAAGCAGAGGGTTTGCCTTTGAAGGAAGACAGTGATGTCCCCACATTTTCTGAACAATCCCTGCTGCAATAGAAGAAGTGGTGCCTCCCTTGGGAGTGCCAGCCCTGCACTCAGTTTTATCCAAGGGACCCAGAATCAAGGCTGTGGCAGTGGGGAGAGACCAGAAGAATTCTTTTGATGGATTCAGTGAATCATTGCTGCACCTGAGAGCTGCCATCTGCTGCCTTTAGAGGTTGATGCATGCTAGAGCACTGGCCAGAGGAAATCCCCGCTCAAGGGCTTGCTTGGAAACTCCTGCTCACCCATTGCTCTTTAAAGGCATCTGAACCTTCAGGCAGGAAGCTCTCAATCAGGAGATGCCAGGCAAGAAGGGCATCAGGTCTGGCTTTGGGCAGCTGATCAGGTTTCCCCCATTTGGTTCAAGAAGGCTAAGGGCTAAGGTGTGCTCACCGGGAAATTGACACTGCCATTGCTATTGCAGTACTTCAGCTCGACAGCACTCAGGACATCCAGGGTAATGCATGATCCCAGAGTCACCTGGGGTCCTTGGAAAGCTGGAACAGAAAAGACAAAACCCCATGAGCTGATGCTTGGCTGAAAACCTTGCCTGACCTTCTACAGGAGGGATTCTTTGCGTTTTGAGGTGGACGAGCAGCATCTGTGCCTGAGTCACGCTCCAAGGGAAAATAAGGCCAGGTCAGTAACACTCAGAATTGCCATGCTTGCACTCACTGGTAACTTCGTAAGCCATGTAGGTGGTGACTCCGCTGCACATAGCCGTGATGTCTATTCCATAGGAGTTGAGGTTGCTGACCAGTCCATTGGTGACAAAGGTGATCCTCTTGTTCGGTCTTCCAAAACCACCAATCAGGTTCTAAACATCAGAAACCAGCATTCAGCAAGCTCAGGGCAGAGAGGTGGCTCCTGCTAGGCATGTTCCTCTGCAATGATGACTCAGGGCTGGGTCTTTGTCTCCCAACTGCATTTCAGGAGGCCTTTAAATACCCTGGGGGCCCTGTGGGACCACCAGCAAGCCTTGAAGGCAGCTCAACCGGTAGAGGTACTTCTAAGGCTGTCAAGGTGAATGGAACTTGAGGGGAAATGGCAGTGCAAAGAATGCCTTTAAGGGCTCCACAAAGAATGGGTTTGCCCTGCAACCTGCACAGCTCAACATCCTTTGGGAAAGTGGGGGAGGGAATAATGCAGCCCCTTTCATTTGGAAAAGCATTCCTACAACAAACTCCTAATCTGCATTACTTTTGAGAGATAGGAAACTCTGCCACAAGACACAACCTGATCCTGCCCACAAAGAAGCAGCACATGAAGAAATGGCACAATGATTTCCCGGGCCAGGAACCTGCTGCTCCTTTGGAACCTTACCCTGCTCTCTTGTGCCAGGTGGGCCAGGTTATCAAAGCGAGGCATCTCATTTCTGTTCATGATGGAAATGTAGCAGGCGTTCTGTTGCCTGACTTTGGTTGCAATGACACCCTGTAAAAGAAAAGGATTCAGCACTCAAAATTCAGTTTCTTCCAAATATTCATGTTGGCATAATGTCGGGTTGGAAACCATAATGAACACTGAGTTCCACTGCCACACACTGTGGAGTCCAAACATTCAGAATAAAGGAAAAATCGCCATCTCTGGGCCTGCTGTACCAGCAGCCAGACTCCATGGATGCATTTTGCTCCGTGCCACTCACCGTGTTGTAGTTCCAGATGGTTTTCCAGGACCCACTGAAGCTCCTTTGCTCAATGACGGCCACACGCCATTGCCTGTTGATGGTCACAATTTGGGAGTGGCCACCAATGATGACTTGAGTGTTGTTGAAGATGCCGCTGGGAATCTGCTGAGACTAAAATGCCAAGAAACAAGAGATATTTTGTCTTTGAAAGAAGACAGTGTTGTCACCAAATCTTCCAAAAAAACCTTGCTACAATGGAACAAGTGCTGGCCCTGAGGTCATTCCCATTGGTTCCCCCACTCTTTTCTAAAGGGCCCAGAATCAAAGGAGTGGCAGTGGGCAGAGGCCATAAGAATTCTTTTCATGGATTCAGTGAATCATTGCTGCATCTGAGAGCTGTCATCTGCTGCCTTTAGAGTTTGATTCCTACTAGAGCAGTGGCCTGAGGAAATGGATGCTCAAGGGCCTGGATGGAAAGCTCTGCTCTCTCACTGCTCTCTTTCAGCGTCTGCACCCTCTCAAAAGCGGAGGTGCCGGGCAAGAAGGGCATCATGTTTGGCTTTGGGCAGCAGCTCAGGATCCGCCCATTGGTTACAAAAAATCTAAGGGTTAAGGTGTTCTCACCGGGAAATTGTTGTTCCAATTGCCGTTCCAGTTGCCGTTCCAATTGCCATTCCAATTGTTGTTCCAGTTGTTGTTGCCAATGCCATTCCAATTGTTGTTCCACTGGTTGTTCCAGTTGCCATTCCACTGGTTGTTCCAGTTGTTGTTCCAGTTGCCATTCCACTGGTTGTTCCACTGGTTGTCCCACTGGTTGGTCCAGTTGCCATTCCACTGGTTGTTCCACTGGTTGTTCCACTGGTTGTTCCAGTTGCTATTCCACTGGTTGTTCCACTGGTTGTTCCAATGGTGATTCCAGTTGCCATTCCACTGGTTGTTCCACTGGTTGTTCCACTGGTTGTTCCAGTTGCCATTGCTACTGCAGTACTGCAGCTCGACAACTCTCAGGACATCCAGGGTAATGCATGATCCCAGATTCACCTGGGGGCCTTGGAAAGCTGGAAAAGAAGAGGCAAAACCCCATGAGCTTATGCCTAAGAACTTGGCTGACGTTCTGCAGGAAGGTTTCTTTGGGTTTTGAGGTGGAAGAGCAGCATCTGTGCCTGAGTCACACCCCAAGGGAAAATAAGGCCGGGTCAGTAACACTCAGAATTGCCATGCTTGCACTCACTGTGAACTTCGGTAGCCATGTAGGTGGTGACTCCGCTGCACATAGCCGCAATCTCAGTTCCGTAGGAGTAGAGGTTGTTGACCAGTCCATTGGTGACAAAGGTGATCTTCTTGGTGTGTCTTCCAAAAATGCCAATCAGGTTCTATACATAGAAAAACAGCAGTCAGCAAGCTCATTGCTGATGGCTGGTTCCTGCTAGGCGTATTCGTAGCTTGGGGAGGAGGACTCTGGGCTGGTGTTTGATTCCCAGCTGTTTGATTGCCAACTGGGACATCTTTTAATCCCCTGGGGAGGCCTGAGGGACCACTAGCAAGCCTTGAAGATAGCTTCAAAGGCAGAGCTTGTTCTACAGGAGTCAAGGTCTAGGGCACTTGAGGGGAAGGGGCAGCACAACAAAAGCACTGAAGGGAGCTACAGAGAACAGGTGTCCCCAGGAAATTGCACAGCTCATCATTCTCCAGGTAAGTGGGGGAGAGAATAATGCCAGCCCTTTCTTTTGAAAAAGCATTCCTACAATAATTCCTAACCAGCATTACTGTCCAGTGAAAGGAAAGTCTGCCACTAGGGACTACTTGATCTTCTCCAGAAAGAAGAAGCACATGAAGAAATGGGTGAGTGATCTCTGGGGCCAGGAAGCTGCTCCTCCTCCTGAACCTTACCCTGCTCTCTTGTGCCAGGCGGGCCAGGTTATCAAAGCGGGGCATCTCGCTTCTGTTCATGATGGAAATGAAGCAGGCGTTCTGTTGCCTGACTTTGGTTGCAATGACACCCTGTAAAAGAAAAGGATTCAGCACCCACAGTTCTGTTTTTTCTGACTGTTAAGGATGGGATAAATTCATCATGGAAATCATAATGAATTCTGAGTGTTAGTGTCCCAAAATGTGGGCTCCTAACACTCAGAATGAAGGAACAATCGCCATCCCTGGGCCAGCTGTACCAGCAGCCAGGCTCCTTAGATGCTTTTGAAGGAGCCCCCTCCCTGCCACTCACCGTGTTGTAGTTCCAGATGGTTTTCCAGGACCCGCTGATGTTCCTTTGCTCAATGACGGCCACACGCCATTGCCTGTTGATGGTCACAATTTGGGAGTGGCCACCAATGATGACCTGAGTGTGATTGAAGATGCCGCTGGGAATCTGCTGAGTCTGAAAAGCCAAGGGAAAGCAGAGGGTTTGCCTTTGAAGGAAGACAGTGATGTCCCCACATTTTCTGAACAATCCCTGCTGCAATAGAAGAAGTGGTGCCTCCCTTGGGAGTGCCAGCCCTGCACTCAGTTTTATCCAAGGGACCCAGAATCAAGGCTGTGGCAGTGGGGAGAGACCAGAAGAATTCTTTTGATGGATTCAGTGAATCATTGCTGCACCTGAGAGCTGCCATCTGCTGCCTTTAGAGGTTGATGCATGCTAGAGCACTGGCCAGAGGAAATCCCCGCTCAAGGGCTTGCTTGGAAACTCCTGCTCACCCATTGCTCTTTAAAGGCATCTGAACCTTCAGGCAGGAAGCTCTCAATCAGGAGATGCCAGGCAAGAAGGGCATCAGGTCTGGCTTTGGGCAGCTGATCAGGTTTCCCCCATTTGGTTCAAGAAGGCTAAGGGCTAAGGTGTGCTCACCGGGAAATTGACACTGCCATTGCTATTGCAGTACTTCAGCTCGACAGCACTCAGGACATCCAGGGTAATGCATGATCCCAGAGTCACCTGGGGTCCTTGGAAAGCTGGAACAGAAAAGACAAAACCCCATGAGCTGATGCTTGGCTGAAAACCTTGCCTGACCTTCTACAGGAGGGATTCTTTGCGTTTTGAGGTGGACGAGCAGCATCTGTGCCTGAGTCTCGCTCCAAGGGAAAATAAGGCCAGGTCAGTAACACTCAGAATTGCCATGCTTGCACTCACTGGTAACTTCGTAAGCCATGTAGGTGGTGACTCCGCTGCACATAGCCGTGATGTCTATTCCATAGGAGTTGAGGTTGCTGACCAATCCATTGGTGACAAAGGTGATCCTCTTGTTCGGTCTTCCAAAACCACCAATCAGGTTCTAAACATCAGAAACCAGCATTCAGCAAGCTCAGGGCAGAGAGGTGGCTCCTGCTAGGCATGTTCCTCTGCAATGATGACTCAGGGCTGGGTCTTTGTCTCCCAACTGCATTTCAGGAGGCCTTTAAATACCCTGGGGGCCCTGTGGGACCACCAGCAAGCCTTGAAGGCAGCTCAACCGGTAGAGGTACTTCTAAGGCTGTCAAGGTGAATGGAACTTGAGGGGAAATGGCAGTGCAAAGAATGCCTTTAAGGGCTCCACAAAGAATGGGTTTGCCCTGCAACCTGAATGCCTCAAAAACCTCTGGGAAAGTGGGGGAGGGAATAATGCAGCCCCTTTCATTTGGAAAAGCATTCCTACAACAAACTCCTAATCTGCATTACTTTTGAGAGATAGGAAACTCTGCCACAAGACACAACCTGATCCTGCCCACAAAGAAGCAGCACATGAAGAAATGGCACAATGATTTCCCGGGCCAGGAACCTGCTGCTCCTTTGGAACCTTACCCTGCTCTCTTGTGCCAGGTGGGCCAGGTTATCAAAGCGAGGCATCTCATTTCTGTTCATGATGGAAATGTAGCAGGCGTTCTGTTGCCTGACTTTGGTTGCAATGACACCCTGTAAAGGAAAGGATTTAGCACTCAGAATTCAGTTTCTTCCAAGTATTCATGTTGGCATAATGTCGGGGTGGAAACCATAATGAACACTGAGTTCCACTGCCACACACTGTGGAGTCCAAACATTCAGAATAAAGGAAAAATCGCCATCTCTGGGCCAGCAGTACCAGCAGCCAGACTCCATGGATGCATTTTGCTCCGTGCCACTCACCGTGTTGTAGTTCCAGATGGTTTTCCAGGACCCACTGAAGCTCCTTTGCTCAATGACGGCCACACGCCATTGCCTGTTGATGGTCACAATTTGGGAGTGGCCACCAATGATGACTTGAGTGTTGTTGAAGATGCCGCTGGGAATCTGCTGAGACTAAAATGCCAAGAAACAAGAGATATTTTGTCTTTGAAAGAAGACAGTGTTGTCACCAAATCTTCCAAAAATCCCTTGCTACAATGGAACAAGTGCTGGCCCTGAGGTCATTCCCATTGGTTCCCCCACTCTTTTCTAAAGGGCCCAGAATCAAAGGAGTGGCAGTGGGCAGAGGCCATAAGAATTCTTTTCATGGATTCAGTGAATCATTGCTGCATCTGAGAGCTGTCATCTGCTGCCTTTAGAGTTTGATTCCTACTAGAGCAGTGGCCTGAGGAAATGGATGCTCAAGGGCCTGGATGGAAAGCTCTGCTCTCTCACTGCTCTCTTTCAGCGTCTGCACCCTCTCAAAAGCGGAGGTGCCGGGCAAGAAGGGCATCATGTTTGGCTTTGGGCAGCAGCTCAGGATCCGCCCATTGGTTACAAAAAAACTAAGGGTTAGGGTTTTCTCACCGGGAAATTGTTGTTCCAATTGCCGTTCCAGTTGCCATTCCAATTGCCATTCCAATTGTTGTTCCACTGGCCATTGCCGTTCCACTGGTTGTTCCAGTTGTTGTTCCACTGGTTGTTCCAGTTGCCATTCCACTGGTTGTTCCAGTTGTTGTTCCAATGGTGATTCCAGTTGCCATTCCACTGGTTGTCCCACTGGTTGTTCCACTGGTTGTCCCACTGGTTGGTCCAGTTGCCATTCCACTGGTTGTTCCACTGGTTGTTCCACTGGTTGTTCCAGTTGCTATTCCACTGGTTGTTCCACTGGTTGTTCCAATGGTGATTCCAGTTGCCATTCCACTGGTTGTTCCACTGGTTGTTCCACTGGTTGTTCCAGTTGCCATTGCTACTGCAGTACTGCAGCTCGACAACTCTCAGGACATCCAGGGTAATGCATGATCCCAGATTCACCTGGGGGCCTTGGAAAGCTGGAAAAGAAGAGGCAAAACCCCATGAGCTGATGCCTAAGAACTTGGCTGACGTTCTGCAGGAAGGTTTCTTTGGGTTTTGAGGTGGAAGAGCAGCATCTGTGCCTGAGTCACACCCCAAGGGAAAATAAGGCCGGGTCAGTAACACTCAGAATTGCCATGCTTGCACTCACTGTGAACTTCGGTAGCCATGTAGGTGGTGACTCCGCTGCACATAGCCGCAATCTCAGTTCCGTAGGAGTAGAGGTTGTTGACCAGTCCATTGGTGACAAAGGTGATCTTCTTGGTGTGTCTTCCAAAAATGCCAATCAGGTTCTATACATAGAAAAACAGCAGTCAGCAAGCTCATTGCTGATGGCTGGTTCCTGCTAGGCGTATTCGTAGCTTGGGGAGGAGGACTCTGGGCTGGTGTTTGATTCCCAGCTGTTTGATTGCCAACTGGGACATCTTTTAATCCCCTGGGGAGGCCTGAGGGACCACTAGCAAGCCTTGAAGATAGCTTCAAAGGCAGAGCTTTTTCTACAGGAGTCAAGGTCTAGGGCACTTGAGGGGAAGGGGCAGCACAACAAAAGCACTGAAGGGCGCTACAGAGAACAGGTGTCCCCAGGAAATTGCACAGCTCATCATTCTCCAGGTAAGTGGGGGAGAGAATAATGCCAGCCCTTTCTTTTGAAAAAGCATTCCTACAATAAATTCCTAACCAGCATTACTGTCCAGTGAAAGGAAAGTCTGCCACTAGGGACTACTTGATCTTCTCCAGAAAGAAGAAGCACATGAAGAAATGGGTGAGTGATCTCTGGGGCCAGGAAGCTGCTCCTCCTCCTGAACCTTACCCTGCTCTCTTGTGCCAGGCGGGCCAGGTTATCAAAGCGGGGCATCTCGCTTCTGTTCATGATGGAAATGAAGCAGGCGTTCTGTTGCCTGACTTTGGTTGCAATGACACCCTGTAAAAGAAAAGGATTCAGCACCCACAGTTCTGTTTTTTCTGACTGTTAAGGATGGGATAAATTCATCATGGAAATCATAATGAATTCTGAGTGTTAGTGTCCCAAAATGTGGGCTCCTAACACTCAGAATGAAGGAACAATCGCCATCCCTGGGCCAGCTGTACCAGCAGCCAGGCTCCTTAGATGCTTTTGAAGGAGCCCCCTCCCTGCCACTCACCGTGTTGTAGTTCCAGATGGTTTTCCAGGACCCGCTGATGTTCCTTTGCTCAATGACGGCCACACGCCATTGCCTGTTGATGGTCACAATTTGGGAGTGGCCACCAATGATGACCTGAGTGTGATTGAAGATGCCGCTGGGAATCTGCTGAGTCTGAAAAGCCAAGGGAAAGCAGAGGGTTTGCCTTTGAAGGAAGACAGTGATGTCCCCACATTTTCTGAACAATCCCTGCTGCAATAGAAGAAGTGGTGCCTCCCTTGGGAGTGCCAGCCCTGCACTCAGTTTTATCCAAGGGACCCAGAATCAAGGCTGTGGCAGTGGGGAGAGACCAGAAGAATTCTTTTGATGGATTCAGTGAATCATTGCTGCACCTGAGAGCTGCCATCTGCTGCCTTTAGAGGTTGATGCATGCTAGAGCACTGGCCAGAGGAAATCCCCGCTCAAGGGCTTGCTTGGAAACTCCTGCTCACCCATTGCTCTTTAAAGGCATCTGAACCTTCAGGCAGGAAGCTCTCAATCAGGAGATGCCAGGCAAGAAGGGCATCAGGTCTGGCTTTGGGCAGCTGATCAGGTTTCCCCCATTTGGTTCAAGAAGGCTAAGGGCTAAGGTGTGCTCACCGGGAAATTGACACTGCCATTGCTATTGCAGTACTTCAGCTCGACAGCACTCAGGACATCCAGGGTAATGCATGATCCCAGAGTCACCTGGGGTCCTTGGAAAGCTGGAACAGAAAAGACAAAACCCCATGAGCTGATGCTTGGCTGAAAACCTTGCCTGACCTTCTACAGGAGGGATTCTTTGCGTTTTGAGGTGGACGAGCAGCATCTGTGCCTGAGTCTCGCTCCAAGGGAAAATAAGGCCAGGTCAGTAACACTCAGAATTGCCATGCTTGCACTCACTGGTAACTTCGTAAGCCATGTAGGTGGTGACTCCGCTGCACATAGCCGTGATGTCTATTCCATAGGAGTTGAGGTTGCTGACCAGTCCATTGGTGACAAAGGTGATCCTCTTGTTCGGTCTTCCAAAACCACCAATCAGGTTCTAAACATCAGAAACCAGCATTCAGCAAGCTCAGGGCAGAGAGGTGGCTCCTGCTAGGCATGTTCCTCTGCAATGATGACTCAGGGCTGGGTCTTTGTCTCCCAACTGCATTTCAGGAGGCCTTTAAATACCCTGGGGGCCCTGTGGGACCACCAGCAAGCCTTGAAGACAGCTCAACCGGTAGAGGTAATTCTAAGGGCATCAAGGTGAATGGAACTTGAGGGGAAATGGCAGTGCAAAGAATGCCTTTAAGGGCTCCACAAAGAATGGGTTTGCCCTGCAACCTGCACAGCTCAACATCCTTTGGGAAAGTGGGGGAGGGAATAATGCAGCCCCTTTCATTTGGAAAAGCATTCCTACAACAAACTCCTAATCTGCATTACTTTTGAGAGATAGGAAACTCTGCCACAAGACACAACCTGATCCTGCCCACAAAGAAGCAGCACATGAAGAAATGGCACAATGATTTCCCGGGCCAGGAACCTGCTGCTCCTTTGGAACCTTACCCTGCTCTCTTGTGCCAGGTGGGCCAGGTTATCAAAGCGAGGCATCTCATTTCTGTTCATGATGGAAATGTAGCAGGCGTTCTGTTGCCTGACTTTGGTTGCAATGACACCCTGTAAAAGAAAAGGATTCAGCACTCAAAATTCAGTTTCTTCCAAGTATTAATGTTGGCATCAAATCAAGGTGGAAACGATAATTAATGCTGAGTTCCTCTGCCACACATTGTGGACTCCAAACATTCAGAATAAAGGAACAATCACCATCCCTCAGCCAGCTGTACCAGCAGCCAGACGCCTTGGATGCATTTTGCTCCGTGCCACTCACCGTGTTGTAGTTCCAGATGGTTTTCCAGGACCCGCTGAAGCTCCTTTGCTCAATGACGGCCACACGCCATTGCCTGTTGATGGTCACAATTTGGGAGTGGCCACCAATGATGACTTGAGTGTGGTTGAAGATGCCGCTGGGAATCTGCTGAGTCTGAAAAGCCAAGGGAAAGCAGAGGTTTTGCCTTTGAAGGAAGACAGTGATGTCACCGAATTTTCCAAAAATCCCTTGCTACAATGGAAGGATTGCGGGCCCTCAGGTAATGCCAATCACTTTTCTCTGTGTTTTCCAAAATACCCAGAATCAAAGGAGTGGCAGTGGGCAGAGGCCATAAGAATTCTTTTCATGGATTCAGTGAATCATTGCTGCATCTGCGGCTGGCATCTGCTGCCTTTAGAGGTTGATTCCTACTAGAGCAGTGGCCTGAGGAAATTGATGCTCAAGGGCCTGGATGGAAAGCTCTGCTCTATCATCGATCTCTTTCAGCATCTGCGCCCTCTCAAAAGAGGAGATGCCTGGCAAGAAGGCCATCATGTTTGGCTTTGGGCAGCAGCTCAGGATCTGCCCATTTGGTTCAAGAAAGCTAAGGGTAATGGTTTCTCACCGGGAAATTGCCATTCCAGTTGCCATTCCAGTTGTTGTTCCACTGGTTGTTCCAGTTGTTGTTCCAGTTGCCATTCCACTGGTTGTTCCAGTTGCCATTCCAGCTGTTGTTCCACTGGTTGCCATTCCACTGGTTGTTCCAGTTGCCATTCCAGCTGTTGTTCCACTGGTTGCCATCCCACTGGTTGGTCCAGTTGTTCCAGTGGCCATTCCACTGGTTGTTCCAATGGTGGTTCCAGTTGCCATTCCACTGGTTGTTCCAGTTGCCATTCCAACTGTTGTTCCAGTTGCCATTCCACTGGTTGGTCCAGTTGTTGTTCCAGTTGCCATTCCACTGGTTGTTCCACTGGTTGTTCCAGTTGCCATTGCTGCTGCAGTACTGCAGCTCTACAACTCTCAGGACATCCAGGGTAATGCATGATCCCAGATTCACCTGGGGGCCTTGGAAAGCTGGAAAAGAGAAAACCCCATGAGCTGGTGTAGAAAACCTTGGCTGATGTTCTGCAGGAAGGTTTCTTTGGGTTTTGAGGTGGAAGAGCAGCCTCTGTGCCTGAGTCACACCCCAAGGGAAAATAAGACCAGGTGAGTAACACTCAGAATTGCCATGCTTGCACTCACTGTGAACTTCGGTAGCCATGTAGGTGGTGACTCCGCTGCACATAGCCATGATGTCTGCTCCATAGGAGTAGAGGTTGTTGACCAGTCCATTGGTGACAAAGGTGATCCTCTTGTTCGGTCTTCCAAAACCACCAATCAGGTTCTAAGGAACAATAACTATCTTTTAGCAAGCTCAATGCCAGGTGCTGGTTCTTGCTTGTGCTGTTCATAGCTGTGGAATGATGCCTCATGGCTGGGTGTTTGGGTCTAATTTTTTTTTTAGGGACATCTTTTAATTCCCTGGGGCGCCTGTGGGACCACTGGCAAGCCTTGACGGCAGCTCCAAAGGCAAATGCTTCCAAGGCAGTCAAAGTGCAGGTAGCCTGAGGGGAGTGGCAGCACAAGGAAATCACTGATGTGGAGAAGAGTTATGTGGCCGCTCTGTGGAGCCAGAGCTCCTTCCAAGGCATGTGCTCTGTTATTGCCCTTGCCCCTCTGGGGCACCCAGGCTGTCAAATGGAAGCCTGCCATGAGAAGTCTCATCCTGCAGCCCATTCTAACCTGGAACCACAGAGGGCAGCAGCAAGTTTGGGCAGATACATTTCCTGTCAGACTATTTTCAGATGGTGCTTAGGGCCCCTCAATGAGAACTCTGGGTGCTCGAGTAGGACACTTCTTTCTGAAAGCCCCCTGTGAGCTTCATTTCAAATCCTTTCTCCTTTCCTACTGGAGTACTTTGTTGCCTGGTCCAAGGCATTGCCTGCTTTCTGGCACTTTCCTCTGAGACCCTTGGTTCCCTCTGCCCTCTCAGCTAGGGCCAGAGGCCTCCTGTGTGGCTCATCCCATGAATGTGAGAGAAAAACTGAGGAATGGGGAGATGTTCTCTCGCGCCGCAGTTAAAAAGGGAGTCTGGCCATGAGCAGCTGCAAGGCTAAGTTCTGAGATGACCCATGGATATTGGTAGTGAAAAGTCCATGAAGGACTTTGAGATCCTGGCTTGCCAATAGGATTAACGCCCTTGAAGGGTTCCTCAGAGCAAGGGTTTTCCCAGCAAGCTGCACAGCTCAGTATCCTCAGAGAGAGTGGAGCTGGGTAAGGGAATAATACAGTCCCTTTCTTTTGGAAAAGCATTCCTAAAAATTCCTAATCAGCATTACTGTTGAGAGAAGGAAAACTCTACCCCTGGAGACAACCTGTTCATGTCCAGAAAGAAAGAGCTCATGAAGAAATGGACTGATGCTCTCTGGGGCCAGACCCTGCTACTCCTTTGGAACCTTACCCTGCTCTCTTCTGCCAGGCGGGCCAGATTATCAAAGCGAGGCATCTCATTTCTGTTCATGGTGGAAATGTAGCAGATGTTCTGTTGCGTGACTTTGGTTGCAATGACACCCTGTGAAATGAAAATAATTTAGTGCTCAAAATTCAGTATCTTCCTGCAGTTTACACTTGATAAAGTCAGGATGGAGAGCATAACAAATTCTGAGAGTTTCTACCCTGCATTGTGGACTCCAAACGTTGAGAATAAAGGAACAATTTCCATCCATGGGCAAGTTTAACAAGCAGGCAGTCTCCTTGGATGTATTTAAACAAGTCCCATCCCTGCCACTCACCGTGTTGTAGTTCCAGATGGTTTTCCAGGACCCACTGATGCTCGTTTGTTCAATGATTGCCACACGCCATTGCCTGTTGATGGTCACAATTTGGGAGTGGCCACCAATGATGACCTGAGTGTGATTGAAGATGCTGCCTTGAGTGTTGTTGAAGATGCCACCTGGAATCTGCTGAGACCAAAAAGCCAAGAGAAAGAAAGAAGACATTTCATTTTTGAAGGGAGACAGTGATGTCCCCAAAGCTTCTGAAAAATCCCTGCTACAGTGGAAGAAGTGCAACCCCTTGGGAAGTACCAGCCGTGGGCTCAGTCTTTTCTAATGGACCCAGAATCAAGGCTTTGGCAGTGGGCAGAGACCGTAAGAATTACTTTCATAGATTCAGTGAATCATTGCTGCATCTGAGAGCTGCCATCTGCTGCCTTTAGAGGTTGATGCATGCTAGAGCACTGGCCAGAGGAAATCCACACTCAAGGGCTTGCTTGGAAACCACTGCTCACCCATTGCTCTCTTTCAGCATCTGCACCCTCAAGCAGGAACCTCTCAAAAGAGGAAATTCCAGGCAAGAAGGGCATCAGGGTTGGCTTTGGGCTGCAGCTCAGGATCCCCCCCATTTTCTTAATGACAAATAAGGGCTAAGGTTTTCTCACCTGTCCATTGCCATTCCAATTGCCATTCCAATTGCCAGTGATATTCCAATTGCCATTCCAGTTGTCATTGCCATTCAAATTGCCATTCCAATTACCATTCCAATTGCCGTTGCCAATGCCATTCCAGTTGCCATTGCTATTGCAGTACCTCAGATCCACAGCTCTCAAGACATTGAGGGTAATGCAGGATCCCAGATTTGCTTGGAGTCCTTGGGATACAAGAAAGTATGAAAAACCCCATGAGCTCATTCTAATGACCTTGGCTGCCCTTCTACAGGAGGGTGGTGGTGTTGCTCAGAGCACACACAGGTATGAAGAATTTCTGCTCTGGGAATGTTTGATCTGTATGAGGGACAGATTCTCTTGGAGTCCCTAAATAGCACTGGCTCTGTGACTCAGCCAGGGATGCTCACCAAGACCTGCTCTTGAACACCCTTGGGATTTCCTATGCAGAAATTTGGGCTCTATTGCACTTTGTTCTGAGAGTCCCAATGGCTGGGCATTGCATGGTGAGGCTGCTGTTAGTTCATGGGCCCAGTCACATGGGCTGTGACATTCTGGAAGAATCCTACCTAGTGTAGGTTATTAAACTCTGGGGAATGGGATCGTTGCCCCAGAGGAAAACTTACAGGGGAGGAAACCACTTGGTTTAGTGTTGTGAAGCACAAGGGTTTGGCGGCTGCCTGGGTCAACTGATTAGCAAGCTCTGACCTGAAGGACAATGGTTACTAGAACAACCCTTCTTCCTGACTGCGTACTACAGGGAAGCTCAGGTGTGGGGCAAAACACTCATTAAGCTTCCCAGAAAGGCAATGTAAGGTTTTGGTTTGTGTCATTTATGGGGGCTGTGACCCTGCTCTCTTCCAGTCCCGATCTGCCAAGGTGCCAAACCCTTTGTACAACTGCTGAAACCCTTGGTCTCTGTCTGGCCCAAAGTGGAAGAGCAGCATCTGTGCCTGAGTCATGCCCCAGGAGACAAAAAGGCCGGGTCAGTAACACTCAGAATTGCCATGAATTCACTCACCATGAACTTCATAAGCCATGTAGGTGGTGACTCCGCTGCACATAGCCGCAATCTCTGTTCCATAGGAGTAGAGGTTGTTCACCAGTCCACTGGTGACAAAGGTGATCTCCTTGGTGTGTCTTCCAAGAACACCAATCAGGTTCTAAACATCAAAAACCAGCATTCAGCAAGCTCAGTGTCAGGAGCTGGTTCCTGCTTGAGATATTCCTAGCTCTGGGAGGATGACTTGGGGCTGGTTGATTCCCAACTGCTATTAGGGACAATTTTTAATCCCTTGTGGCTTGTGGGACCACTAGCAAGCCTTGAAGGCAGTAGCAAAAGCACATGGTTTGCCCAGCAAGCTGCAGAGCTCAACATCCTCAGAGAAAGTGGAGTTGGGTGAGGGAATAATGCAGCCCCTTTCTTCTTTTGGCAAAACATTCCTACAAGAAATTTCCAATCTACATTACTGTTGAGTGAAGGGAAATCCTGCCACTAGACATAACCTGATCCTCTGCAGGAAGAAGAAGCAGAAGGGGAAATGAGCTAATAAACTCCAGGGCCAGGAACGTGCTACTCCTTTGGATTCTTACCCTGCTCTCTGCCGCCAGTCGGGCCAGACTATTAAAACTGGGTATGTCAGTTCTGTTCATGATGGAAATGTAGCAGGTGTTCTGCTGTGTGATTTTGGTTGCAATGACACCCTGTAAAATAAAAGTATTTAACATTCAGAATTCAGTTTCCCCAGCTGTTGAGGTTGCAAAGTTGGGATGGAAGCAGTAACAAATACCAAGAGTTTCTATCCCACGTTGTTTACTTCAGATGATCAGAATACAGAAACAAGCCCCATCCCTGGGTCACCTTTTTGATAATCCCAGTCCCATCCACTCACCCTGTTGTAGTTCCAGATGGTTTTCCATGATAAAGTTTGGCTCTTTTGCTCGATGATTGCCACCCTTGTTTGACTATTGAGCTTCACGCCTTGTGAGATACCGGTGATAGTGATTTGAGAGTCTCCACCAAAGATGATTTGCTGGTTTCCATTTGTCTTCTGAGACTGGAAAACCAAATGGAGCACTTTTAGATGGCAACATTAGTCAGTGCTGTCTCCCTTGCTTTTAAAAAACCCTTGGTACAATAGGAAAAGTTCTGTGCCCCCCCTCTAAGAGCCAGAAGTGGCCTCAGTATTTTCAAATAGACCCAGAATCAAGGCATTGGCATTGAGCAGTAGCTGTAAGAATACTTTTCAAGGATTCTATGAATCATTGCTGCATCTGACACCTGTGATTTGGTTCCTTTAGAGTTTCATCTGTTTGAGAAGACTTCAATTCTTTTCCTTCAAAGTGTTGGAGAAAGAATCAAGGAGATTTCATGAAGCAGGAGATAGAGGCAAAGTAGCCATGCATGGGGAAATTGTTCATTTGTACTCACGTAATCAGCAAGGGCTGGATTCAGGACGAGTCCTAGAAGGACTGCAGTCCAAATCTGAAATGAAAAACAAATACAAAATGTAACTGCAGCTCTGGCTGACAAATCTGGTCATGGGAGTCCTCCTTGCCTTTTCCTAATCTGATGTTCAAGGGTCCTCCTTGGATCCTTTTTTTGCTTTCAACCTGGGATTGCATCAGTGCCCCAAAGGGAAGCACCCTTGCTTTACCCCAGGGGCTGAGCTGCTCCTTCTGGAGGAGCACGATGTCCCCAGAGAAAGCCTCGGTGCCCCAGAGAGGCAGGAGCCCTTCTGAGAGATAAAGGAATGGGTTTGAATCAAAGTTTCAGTTCATAAGGAAGAAAAGCATGCATACTTACAGAGAGATGCATCCTGACTGCAGAGCTGATGCTCCTGCAGGTAGAAAGAGCAGTGTGAACCCTCCACCTTTTATATGTTTTCAGAAATCATAGTAGAAATGCTGAGTGTGCAATAACATTATTTTGTCATTTGTTTCCCTGTCATTTGTCCCTGAAAATTATTTCCTGGTGTACTTGATAAACATGGGGATTGTACTTTTGAACCTTTTGACCTCCTGGAGTCTGATAGTTATCAATAGGAATCCATTTGCAGTGAAAAATTAAATATGTTTCTAGTATTTTTCTAACATGTACTATTTACTTTTGAAAATTCACATCAAACTTAAGACCGGAGATATCCTAGGGCTTAAACAAGAACATAAAAAGCTTTGCATTAGACAAAATATGTGAAAGCCTTTTTACCTTCCAAAATATACTGTATGTTATCGGGTCACCATAGCACCCACTAAAATGTGGCAGTGAGGGCTGAGGCATCTGTGCCTCTGTGGACTCGTCAAAGCAGCCCTGAGACATTTACACCTTTCCAGCTTTATTGATTTACAGTTGTTGGCAGATTTTTCCTCTTAAGTGCATGAAGTTAAAGCAGTTTTGTGAGCAGCTGCACCTTGCTGGCAGTGTTTTACTCTCCTGGGGACAGTATTGCAGCAGGCATTGTAGTAGGTATAGCACCATTTTCTTCCAGTATTGATGAATAATTACTCAAGGCAGCATGTGAACTCTCTCTGAGAAGTTGTACTGGAAGAGGTTCAAATGCCAAAATTGGGATTTTGCAAGAACATTAGTTTTGCAACTTGTCTTTGGAATTGCTTCTGCTTTTTCAAAGGATTTGTAAAAACACAGCACAGACCAGTGTAGGTTAATCATAAATTTTACTGAGACTCAACAGCTTCCATACAGAGCAGAAGAAATATAAATGATTGAAAATATGATCAAGAGAAGATTATCAAGGAGAAAAATCTTTCTAATGGGTACACAGTTCTATGAATTTTCTTCTGCAGACTTTGTCAGGAGTAACCACGGTAATAAACAGGCAGCTCATTAATGTTAAATTTCAATCATGAAATATCTCACTCCAAGAAGCTTCATCCTGATGAGAAGTTTGATCCCCTTAAAAAGTTTGATCCTGAAAGAAGAAGAAAAAACCAATTAGATTTGAACTGAGAAAATATGAAGGCAAAAATGTAGGTGAAATGCTTCCAACTAGTTGCCTAAAAATTCCAGATTGATGTCAAGAGCTAGAGCCCAGAACCTTCTTGAGAATGGCCGGGGTCCAGGTCACTCAGGAGAGTGACAGACCTGCATTTCCTGAGCTGTGTGTGCATGGATGTGTACAAAGCCACAGAAAACACAGGATCTCAGTCAGTGACATGCTCATATTTGCTTGAATCTTTTGTAATCCTGTCAACCTGTGCACATTTTGGAGCGCCAGGGCTGTCAGCAGCAGACTCACCAGGAGCTGGGTAAGCGAGGTAGGAGGGGATTCCTCTGCACAGGGCTTGGATGCGTTTCCCATACGGGCTCAAGCTCTGGAGTCTGTTCCTGGAGATAATGAAGCGATTCTCTCTGGGTGGCAGCTGGTAAGGCCCAAGTACCTGAGCATCAGAGAAACAGCCAGAAAACAGCATTTAGGAGAACCAAAACTGGAGTTCAGAACTGGTGATGAACATCGAGAGCAGCCCTGCTGAGAAGGACCTGGTGGGTGAGAGGCTGGGCATGACCCACCAAGGTGCACCAACAGCCCAGGAACCCCCAGTGCTGGGCTGACCCCAGCATGGGCAGCAGCTCCAGGGGATTCTGCCCCTCTGCTCAGGTGAGACCCATCTGCAGAGCCCTGGGGCCTAGGGAGGACCTGGAGCAGCTGGAGAGAGCCCAGAGGAGGCACCAGCATGATCAGAGGGATGGAGCAGCTCTCAGGTGAGCAAAGGGTGAGATGATTGGGATTGTTCATGCTAGAGGAGAGAAGTTTCAGGTGACCTCATCATGGCCTTCCAGTACCTGAAGGAGCCAACAGGAAAGACTGGACAAGACTATTTACAAGGGTCTGGAGTGAAAGGACAAGGAGAAATGGTTTCCCACTGCCAGAGGGCAGGGTTAGATGGGATACTGGGAAGAAATTCTTCCCCATGAGGGTGGGGAGGCCCTGGCACAAGTTGCCCAGAGAAGCTGTGGCTGCCTCCTCCCTGGAAGTGTTCAAGACCTGGCTGAACAGTAATTGGAGTCTGTTCCTGGGCAATGCAACTTTTGAAGGAACTTTTAGAGCGACTCTGCCCTGCTGAGAAAGTTTCTTCAGTTCTTGGAGCCTTTTCTCCTGCATGTGTAGGAACAAGTGTGTGTCACTGACCATCTTTTGCCACACTTTCAACCACCATCCTACCTTGTCTCCTGGAGGTGGTGTAGGAAAGGGTTTGCCAAGCCAAAACCTCTTGCTGGTTGTAGCAATGATGCAGGTGTTCTTTGAAAACACCTTGGTTGCAACGTAGCCCTGTTAAAGTTAAACAAAAACCCCTTTTTGTTGCAAACAATATATGGGGAAAGGGAAGTGCGTTGCTAGAGAGAGGCACTGGTTAGAAGAAAGGCTTCCTACAGTGCAAATAGTCATGGGGAAAGAAAAATATTGGTCCTTTCAATTATATTGTTTAGGCAAATGTGCCATGGAGGCCGACAAGAGACTTTGGTAAAAGGTAAATTGCCTCTTCCAGTAATGCCACGTGTATGGTGTGTTCTGCTGCTGAGGGCAGGTGAAGGAATTTGCTGCTGAAAAGCTAATGCAGCACACAGTGGCCAGCAGAAACAATCCCAAGGGCTGAAGGAGCACATTTTCAAGCATGCCCTCTAAAATACAATGAAATTTTGTTGAAGTTTTGGTGGTTTTTAGAAAGCGTTTGTCTCTTTTGCCATTTTTCTTGTGCCAGGGTGGCAGCTACTTACAGCCTCGAAGTCCCAGATGGTTTTCCAGGGCTCAGACCCATCCCTTGGGTTTGTGCTGACCCTGATCCCAGAGTAGATTGAGTTTTCACTGGGCTGCCCATTAAAGCTGTTCTCCATGCTCTGATTTTTGGAAAAGATTAAAGAGGTAAGGATTTAGCTTCCCGTATTCCCAGCAGTTTTTCTCTCTATAAAGCATTAGCTGCAGTAGCTGTGTTTAGGGAAATCACTGCTCTTGGAGATGAGATTAAAGGGGAGATGATTTCTTGGCTCAGAATGAAGATGGTAAGCCTTTACTTTCTAAGTAATCAAAAGAATTCCTTACTGTTCTTTTCCCCGCAGGATCTTGCTGGCACCAGATTACTTACAGTATTCTACTGTATTTTGTGGTCAGATCAATCATGTTAATATTTGTTTCTCTCCACATCATTTATTTCAGTGTTTATGCTTATCTGAGGACAGACTTCCCTGATTCCATGTATGGTAACTTTCTTTCCCCCCTTAATACACCAAGCATGGAAATAATATCTTAGTTATCATAGAAAAATTAAAACGCAGTTTTCTTCTAAATATCAGATTTTAAAAAGCAGCTTCCCTTCCAGAAACCCATTTCTCAGAGGTAAGAGCTAAAGCCAGTGGTTCTTGTGGCAGTGGTGAGCAGCTGTGTGTAGCTCTATACTTACAAGGTTGGCAAGAACAGGAGCCAGGAAAACTCCAAGGAGAGAAGCAATCACAACCTGAAATGAACATTTGGAATTCAAAACTTGTCAAGATCATCAAGACGTCAAATTATTTGCTGTCTTAAAATAATTTTGGCTTCCTGTTTACTGTGTGGACAGACTCAGCACGTTCTGCGGTGGGGTGTAATTGAAGAGGATTGAAATATGCAGGAGAATTATTTGTTGATGATTTCACAGAACACATGCATAGAAATGGCTCTTAGCCCCAGCACTGCACCTTGCCCAGGCAAGAAGGGAGTTCTTAAAACTTGCCCAGCCCCAATTCAATAACTTATTGGAAAAATGTGCTCTCAAATATTTTCTTTGCAACAGTGAGCTTTTCACCTCGAGCTTTTGATGTCAGACATGGAGCAGATCTGAGAAATGTCCATGTGCACCTGCTGTGAAGAACTGGAATATGGGTGCACATTCCAGCTCTGGACCTGGAACACAGCAGCAAAGGCACCTGAGCATCTTCACAGTGATCTCATCCTCCAAATACAGAACTAACAGTCTAAAGGGAGGCACAGGCACTTCTGTTCAGAAAATTGGGACATCAAACATTTGTTACCCCTTTATAAAGCCGCAGAGTTTCAACAACTCACAAGCTTGCTGCGCTCGGGTTTGCCTGAACCACTGCTGAAACCTTTTGGAGAGATTTCCTATTGCTACGATGAAAAATTATTTTCAGATAACTATTGTGAACAATTATTCTCTTGAAGACAATCCTGTGAGCATTGAATTGGTCCCAGATTTTATCTCCTTCAAAGGAGGATTTTGATGCAAAAGGTCCAAGTCGGACTCAGAGTATTTAAAAGTAATGCTTGGGAATTTTCCCTGCTCCAGTTTCAGGCTGCCGTAAACACCTCAGTGTCACCATCCTGCACTTGGAGTCTCTCGTGTCAGACTCTCAGCAAACAGCTGAGCCCTAACTTTATGTGACTTGCTGAGACTGTTGGTTTGCCTCTGAGTGGTGAAGGAGAGAATCTTGTCCTGTGGACGTGTCACGAGTGTGTGTCGCCCCTGGAACAGAGCACTTCTGTCTTTCATGTTTGAGCATGTGGAGTTCCATCCCTGCCAAATGGGAGATTTCTCCCCTGCAGTCCCCACCCCTTTGGCATTTTCCCTTTGAAAATGCCCTTTGGCATTTTCACTTTGTCAGAAATCACTAAGAGTTCACTCAGTGCCAAGAAAAGCTCAAAACCATTTAAAAGCTGCCCAGCCTTAAGAGTTTTATGAGAAAGTGATAGGTATACTTACAGGGAACTCCATTTGGATGGTAGGCCAGGCCAGCTCTGCTGCTAATTGATGTGTACTCTTACTTTTTATACATAATATCCCAAAGTTAAATCTGAAAATGGGTTTGCCTTATTGGCAGGTGCCCTGTGTTCACAGAAGCATGACGAGTTTCCTGGGGAAGTGCTCTGATAAGAGGAGGCTTTGATACCTGCCTGATTGAATTCATGGCATACAGGGAGGTGAGAGAAAAGTGCTCATGGTAAGCTCAGTGTATTGAGCAGCCACCTGTAAAGGAACAACAATGATCATCAGAAGCAGAGCAGAGATTCCCAGTAAACTTGCAGTGATGCTTTGTGCCAGGGTGTCAAAGGACTCAGCCTGAAGTTGTGCCTCTGACCAAAAGCACCACTCAGACCAGGGGGTGGTGATCTTGCTGTGTTAAAAATATTAAGTCTCTGTTTGTCAGATGTGGCCATGAGTCTTCACAGAGCCCCTTCAGGAGAGTAGCACCTGATTATGGACTAAGGGCTGATTTGAGAAAGGGACCATAAATTTGGGGTGGCAAGGTTCACCAAGGGATCCTGAGCCACAGCTTTGTAAGTTGAGCCTTACTCTGCCTGAGGACTGGCCAAGGTGAAATTAGAGGGGTTCAAACCCTTCTTAGGCAGCTCCTTCCTTCAGCTCCCTATTGGAGGGTGCCTCTAGGACTCTGGTGCTTGGGTTTAGACACATACCTGCTGATTTCAGGAGTGTTCCTGGAGATGTGTGATGAACTGTGGGCAAAAGGTCTCCAAAAAGCAAGGCTTGCCCATTGGAATTATATCAAAGGCTTTGCCTGAGACAACCAGCTCGGGCTGTGTCACAATCACACTAATTAGACAAATGCGTTTCAGAAATTAACCTTTAGTTTTTGTCCTTGTCTGATGGGATCAGCAGAGTTCAGCCAGTGCAATGCAAGGTGCAGATCATGGCTATTGTTGTAGTTTTCCTGCAGTAAAACAACAGCTGATCTCACCTGCTGCTCTGCCCTTACCTGTGCTTCAGCACTTGGATGCTGAGGGAAACAGGAGCTGCTGCTTCTCAAGTGTTCTTCAAACAAAATTACTACATGAAGGCATAAGCACTGAGGAAAAGGTAAATTAACCTTTTTTTTTTAAACTTGTGGTGCCTGAACCCTGTTAGAGTCCTGCTGTGAAATACTTGACTGTTGAAATCTATTCTGAGTATTTCTGACATACCTGAAATCTTAAAATAAAGAATCTTTTGAGAAGAAGGGACAGAACCAGCTTTCAAGAGAAGTGTAACATCAGCCTAACTAGTCTAACTGGGTTTAGCAGAATTTTATATCTGTTTATGTGTTTTCTGATATATTGCTTAGCAGCACAGCATTGTTACACTTGAGATAACATTTTCTCATGTGGACTTAGGTGGCATAAAGCAAATGTGTACAATTTCCTTTTTTTCTTTTTCCATTGAGGCCTGTTTGCTGAGAGATATTTCTGTACAATCTCCTTCTCCTTTTTTTTCTGATAAGAGAAATTACAGAAATGTGTTTGCCGTTAGTTTGAGTTCTTGTTTTATTGGGAGGGAACCAGCCTTGATTATGACCTTCCAGCAGCAAGCAGAGTGTGATTCATCCAGGTGCCAGCCCTGGCTGGTGCAGGACAGCAGATGAGGAGGAGTCCAGGCAAGGTCAGAGTCCCCTGGGAGCACCAGAGAACATTCTCAGGGCGACGTCCTGGCCGTTGGCATTCTCACAAAACACAGAAATCAGTGGGGATTCTGAGGGGGAATCCCCATCCTGCTCCTTCTGTTTGTGACCTTGTGCACAGCACGGAGCCTCTGGATTTTGGTGTCACTGCCTGGTGAGCTGGGCAGCCAGAGGTGCCCCAGGCTGTCCTGTGAAGCACAGCTCTTGTTCCCAGCTCTGTCAGTATTTCAGTCCATGTTCCTCTGGGTTTGGGTGTCCCTGCCTGGTGAGCTGGGCAGCCAGAGGTGCCCCAGGCTGTCCTGTGAAGCACAGCTCTTGTTCCCAGCTCTGTCAGTATTTCAGTCCATGTTCCTCTGGGTTTGGGTGTCCCTGCCTGGTGAGCTGGGCAGCCAGAGGTGCCCCAGGCTGTCCTGTGAAGCACAGCTCTTGTTCCCAGCTCTTGTTCCCAGCTCTGTCACTATTTCAGTCCATGTGCTCTGCCCATGGGGGAACTGCTCAGAAATGAGCAGCACCTCTTGCCAGGAGTCCCTGCACACAGAATGGAATGGAATCATGTGGTCCCACAAAGGTTTGGGTTGGAAGGGCAATAAAGATCCTCCAATTCCAGCCCCTGCCATGCTCGGGGATGCCACTCACTGTCAGGTGGCTCAGGGTCCCTTCCAGTATTTTCAGTGACAGAAATGGCTGAAGAATTGCTCTGTTTGTTGGCTGACAAGGAGGCCACCATGGCACAGGTGTTTCTTCCCAGCCCTTCTCTGCAGACTATCAATCAGGCTGTTAGGGACTGTGTTTCAGAAGACAAAATGCAGTTTGTGTGAATAAATAAATAGCAGTGTTATTCCCAATGACATTTAATTCTAGACAATATCCTGTTAAATATTTAAAAAAATAGAACCAGCAATACTAAAGTTTAAACCAGTGAATAATGGCCATTTGCAGAGTGATTGATTTACTGAGACTTTACTGAGTGCTTTAAATATATCTGGGTCAGGTTATCTGTGCCAACCCAAAATTCAGATAGGAGGCTTACGACATGTAGATATGGACTTGTTCGAGTCATGAAGGAAAGTTCTGTCAAGTGTTTCCCACACCTCCTGCAAGATATAAAAGTTGAAGGTCTCTGGGATTTCCTTGCGTTCTTACCTTCTGCGCCTCTTGCTCTCATCTGAAAGAAAAATGAAGAGATTTGTGAGTATCTCCATTTCTGTTGGACTTTTAATACTTAATAATGTAAGTTCCTCATTTTTAAAAACAGAAGGATAGAGAAGATGCTCAAGTAAGTGGTACAATACAGTGGTGCAATAATATGATCTTGGGTGGAAAGAGGAGAACTTGCGTTTCTTGGGTCAGCAAAGTCCGTGGAAGCCTCACTTGAGCAAAGAATGCAGAATTTGGTACAGCTCAGAAGGGAGGTTTGGTTATGATTTAATGATTGCAGTTATAGAGGCAAATCAAGAGGTAACGTGGCATCAAGGAGGGACTTGTGGAAACTGCAGAAATGCCATGGTTAAGTTATTCTGCTTTTTCAGCTACAGGCAAAGGAGAGCCTGATAGCAAACACTTGACAATGCAGAACTGCAGTCGTTTTCAGCTAATATACATGCTAAGTGGGGGATTTTTCAAACTGATGCTCAGCTTCTTCTCTCAGTTCATGGACTGGGTGTTTTTATGGCACTGCCTGGTGTTTCTGACAGTGAGAATTCTGCTTCTTTTTACAGGCTGCAGCCCTCATTTGCCTGGGAGTCTTTTGGGCTCAGACTTCTGCATTGAACGTGAGTAGAGGGATGAGCCTTGTCCTGCACATGGGTATTTAAAGTGTGTTGGATCCCTGGGCAGGGGGAATAGAACAGGAAGAAAACCACAGAAGAAACTAAAACCAACACGTTGCTTATTGTCAAGTGTAGAGAAAAAGAGCTTTTGCCAGAGGTTCTGTACAGGTGCAAAGTAACGAGTCAGGGGGACAGAGCCCCCTTAGCTCAGTCAAACATTTGGAGACTGGAGCAGTCTCCTGCCAGTCCCTGCTGCCCAGAATGACTGGGATGTCCCATGCAGGTTCTCCCCAGCCTGCAGAAGGGCCTGTTTATAACTCCCCTCCATCTCAAGAGCCTCCTCAGACTGCTCCAGGATGCAGTAAATACCAAATCCCAAAAACACAGGGTTCTTAAGGGATTTGGTATTTACATAAGCATAAAGCATTGGGAGTTGTTCTGCCTGCTAAAGATGGAAGCCAGGTGATGAACACTGATTTTGTGCTTTTTACCAAAGACCTTTGTGCTGCATGATCCCATCAGCAACTATGTCACTGGCACCATGACCATCCACAGCGAGGAGCAAATCGTCGATGTCCACGTGCGCTCCGGCGTCTACTCCTCTGACACCATCTTTGACTACACACATGTGAGTAAATCCAGGGATCCATTTTTGACTACACACATGCGAGTAAATCCAGGGATCCACCCCAAATTAACCCCTGAGGACGTTTTTAAAATCAGAAATTATTTCAGAGTATTCTCACCACATCTTGTCCCTGAACACTGTTTCTTTGAGGACTCCCAGCACCTTTCCTCCTCCTTTCTTCACCCGTACAATGGGGCAGTTTAGAAGACTTGTAATGAGTCTTGTGGTGGCAGTTCCTGAAAGTGAAGAAGGTCCCTGGGCTGGGGGTGGGGATGGGCTGCCAGCACTCATAGGCAGCAGAAATCTGTCAGAAATGATGCTTCCAGTCTCAGGGACAGGCACCAGGACAGGCTGGCTCCATTCCTCAAAGGAGAGAAAGGAACTGCATTCATTCCACAGCAGAACCTCTGCAGCCACTTGCTGTTCCTTCCGGGTTGCCCCAAAGAGTAGAGAGCACCAGCTAATGTCAGCATTATTTAAATCATTTCTGATGATTTAACCTCCACTCTTTCCATGCCAGGGGTACATTGCCACCAGGTTGTTCTCACGAAATGCCTGCTTTATCATGAAAATAAAGAAGGAAATCATCCCAGACCTGCAGGAGATTGGACGTCTGGCTTTTGAGAGAGAGGTGACTGTGGGGAACCCTCAGCTGGCAAGGGAGGGGTGGGAGCAGTGGGCTGTGAGGGGGACCCTCCACTCTGCCCCCAAGGCAGCTCAGGAATGATTTGTGCTGTCCTAGCAAGGATGGAGCTGTGCTGACAAGACACAGCTCGAAGGGAACATCATGCAGAACATTCTTTTAAGATAAGGAACCACCATGGCCCCCCTGCAGTTTTACAGAGGGATGTTGAGGTGTCTCAAGCTGTACAATCCCCTGTCCTTGGCACTGATGTCATTTGGCCATTTCCAGGTGACCACAATATAAGTTCAGGCAAACTTTCCCTTTATTCACTGTCCTGCTGATAATTTGACCTTGACATTGCTTGAAATTTATTTCTTTTCAGAACAGAAAGTAGACATCAATTTACTTTGATCAGATTTTGACTTCCTTATTCAGGCTGAGGTTTCAGGAGACTGGAAGTATTGCCTGGAGGTGAACTGGAGCTCTGGCCCAGTAGCACATTTACAGCAAAACCTGGTGCCAATAATGTAACTTATTATTATGGCAGCAACACAGCTCAGGCTTGCTGTGTTGCACAATTAATATATAGTGAATTTTGTTACTGAATAGATTGAAATTATTTTTTTAATTTAAAAGCATGAAGCTCCTTTATCTAAGGTTCTTTTGTGAGGCAAAGGAAGGTGATTTGGGGTTTGGGAGCCTTCTCAAAGGGCGTCCCAGCAGAGTAAAGCTAAAGCTACACTTCTGATGGTGTTTAACCTTTTCTTCTCAGACCATGAGGGATGTATACTCTCCCAATAATGTGTGGGCCCTGTTCCAAGCTGGCAGCTCCAGGCTGGGGCATCTTAAAGACTGGGTTCTCTACGGGAAGCACATTGAGAATCTCTGCACGGGGCTGCCTCTCTATGAGCTGGTGGCCACTGAACGTAAGTCACAGGCCAGGGCGTTGTGGCCCTTCCTCCCCCTTGAACCCAAATCCCCCTGCTACCCTGGAGCTGTGCAGGCATTTCTCCCCCTTGAGCTGCACCACAAACGTTCTGCACAGTTCTGAGACAAACAGAAGCCTTGAATGGGGCCATAATTGGGGGTTGGGATTTGTGTATTTGAGACTTTTCCTAGCTGGATACAGGGATCCCATCGGGTAAGGAGATACTGAGATATATACTGATATAAATACTGATACCATCTTCCTTTTCTTGGGATTTTTTAGCACTAACAAATGATGATGGCTGTGCCAGTGCCGGCATTCCAAGCATTTTGGGCCTTAAAATCTGTGAAGAACTTGTTGCAAATGAATATTGACATTTCTGTTGCAAGAAAATGCCTTTTTGCATATTTTAGTGATGGTAACCATGTTCTCCAGCTGGAACAGAACTCGGGTATGAGGCTCAACCTGCCTATGCAAAGCTTTGATGCATAACAAGCCTATGACATACAAATAAATAGAAAGCTTTAATAAATAAATAGAATGCTTTGTCTGTTTCTTCTATCCAAGATCAGAACACAATGGCAGTGGGCCTTGTGAGTTGCCCTGCAGAAAAGACAAATTTCCCCAAATTTCCCCCTTGGTCCATTCCTGTGCTGGGGCTGCAGCATGGCCCAGGCATTGCTTTGTGCTTCATAAAGAGAAGAAACAGAACCAGAATAGATTTTTCCAGTGGAGAACTTCACTTTGGCATCAGCATCCAGGTGTTGGCTCACCTTGTGTAGCATGGCTGGGGGAGGGAGCAAGGAGCTGAATGAAGATAAAAGGAGGGAGCAGATCCACACATTTACAAAGCAGCTTGAATGCTGCAGGGCCAGTGGGAATTTGCAGCACTTTGAGTGAGTGCAGAGATTTTCCAGCCTGGCCAGAGGACACTGCCCCAGCCCTAAGAGATTTGTGCTTGGAATAAAGTTTTCCTTTCGCACAATGGCACAGAGAGCTGGGACCACTTGGTGAGTGTCCCAGGTGTGCTTTGTGCCAGGAGCTGATGGAAATCCAGGATGGGGCCACCTGCCTGCTCTGGGGCAGATCCCAGGGGATGGCTGAGCCCTCTCAGCCTTCCCTCCAGGGCCTGGAAGGGCTGTGTGTGCTTGGGGGATGAACACTGAATATTTACTGTTTATGGGAGCCTTGAGTGGATGCCAGAGGGCAAGAACTTCCTTTGGAGGAAAATGGCCCCAGGTCTGCAGTTTGTAATTTTCAAATCAGGCTGCTGGTCAAACCATCTGCTATTTAATAAAAGAGCATTTCATCACATGGTGAAGCTGTTCTTTTAGATTAATTGTATTCATGACAGGCCGCAGGTTCTTGGTGGTCCAAAAAAATGTTTCTGGAGGGTCAAACTTTGTTAATTAAATCCAGGAATAGTTGTTCTGTGGACCCTGAAACCAGCCTCAATACCTCGTTATCTGCACCTCTTGGGGTGCAGCCCCCAACAAGAGAGAAGGAAGCACAGGAAGACCCATAAACCACACAACCCACGCTCTGATTCCCACAGTTTTCCAGAGAAAAACTCTGGAAAAGTTTTCCCTCTGGTCCCAAATTGCAGCTCTGAATTCACAGCCCTTGAGCCTCCCTGTTGGTATCACCCACAACCACAAAGATCATGCTAGAAAGGGCTGCAGAGCAAAATAAATTTATTCTCGATTTAAAATAACTAATCACAGGGCAAACAGGAATGTACAGCCAGCTCTGAACAAACCAGAGAAAAGGACTTAAGCAGGAGAAAGAAGTTTGATATTCTATTTATTGATACTGTATTTGCCCTTGCTATTTCCTGCCATTTCATTCTTTGTTGACTAGGCCACAGTTTACAATATGCTTTATGGACCTGTCTGGGATTATAATAAATCTGTTTTTCTTATCTTGCAGGTGGTTGATACTAAAACTGGACTACAGGGAAAGCCCAAAGAGGTAAAAATTGGAGCACAGCCCGACCCCCCAGCTGTCCCCTCCTGTCAGGAGCTGTGCAGAGCCACAGGGTCCCCCCTGATCCCCCTTTTCTCCCTCTGAGCCCCTTCCCAGCTCCCTCAGCCCCTCCTGGGGCTCCAGACCCTTCCCAGCTCCATTCCAGTCTCCAGACATGCTCCATGCTCTCAATGCCCTTCTTGCCATGAGGGGCCAAAAGCTTATTAATATAATTAATATATTAACATATTAAATCTTTAATTCTATCAATCAGTTAATCTAGAGATGCTGTGTCTGATGTGAAACCCCTGCTGGCCTGGAGCCCATCAGGTATCAGAATCTTTGGGGGTCCCTTGCTGGTAGAGGATCTTTGTGCACTGTGATCCAGGGATTCTTCTGGCACTCTGAGGTTTTCCAAGGGAATGGATGGAAAATTCCCAGTGGTTTCCATGGGAGGCACCCAGAGCCCAGCAGCCAATCCCAGGAACAATGGTGAGTTGTGTTCCCAGTGCTCAAAGCCCACGGCTCGTCCCGATAACCGCCCAAGGTCAAGGTGCAGCTGGACAAGGTGGAGCTCCTTGGCACTGAGCACAAACTGAGCACCTGGAGAGCAGCACAGCCCCGGGAATCTGCATAGGACAGGGACAGGGCACAAACTGAGCACCTGGAATCTGCACAGGAGGGGGACAGGGCACAAACTGAGCACCTGGAATCTGCACAGGACAGGGGCAGGGCACAAACTGAGCACCTGGAATCTGCACAGGAGGGGGACAGGGCACAAACTGAGCACCTGGAGAGCAGCACAGCCCCGGGAATCTGCACAGGACAGGGGCAGGGCACAAACTGAGCACCTGGAGAGCAGCACAGCCCCGGGAATCTGCACAGGAGGGGGACAGGGCACAAACTGAGCACCTGGAATCTGCACAGGAGGGGGACAGGGCACAAACTGAGCACCTGGAATCTGCACAGGAGGGGGACAGGGCACAAACTGAGCACCTGGAGAGCAGCACAGCCCCGGGAATCTGCACAGGACGGGGACAGAGCACAAACTGAGCACCTGGAATCTGCACAGGACAGGGACAGGGCACAAACTGAGCACCTGGAGAGCAGCACAGCCCCGGGAATCTGCATAGGACAGGGACAGGGCACAAACTGAGCACCTGGAATCTGCACAGGACAGGGGCAGGGCACAAACTGAGCACCTGGAATCTGCACAGGACAGGGGCAGGGCACAAACTGAGCACCTGGAATCTGCACAGGAGGGGGACAGGGCACAAACTGAGCACCTGGAGAGCAGCACAGCCCCGGGAATCTGCACAGGACAGGGGCAGGGCACAAACTGAGCACCTGGAATCTGCACAGGAGGGGGACAGGGCACAAACTGAGCACCTGGAGAGCAGCACAGCCCCGGGAATCTGCACAGGACAGGGACAGGGCACAAACTGAGCACCTGGAGAGCAGCACAGCCCCGGGAATCTGCACAGGACAGGGACAGGGCTGCCCTGCTGCCTCTGGCACCCAGAGCTGCCGCCAAAATGAAAAGGGAGCCAGTGCACGAGCTTAGAGCCTAAAAACACATTGGCTGGAAGAGGCTGGAGAGAGAGAAGGTGTCAGGATGAGATTCAGGATCTCCTGATGTTCCCAAGAGCTCCTCTCCACCAAACAGCACCTTCTGGTTATTATCTAACTTCATCTATCACATTATCACATTATCTAACTTCCTAGCCAGGCCTGTTCTGTAAAAAGCAGGGAATTGATTTGGTGTGGAATATTCTGTCTGGCTGTGCCTCAGTGAGAATCTGTGAATGTCTTGATTTCCAAGGAATACACCCCAACCCTGGTGCAATTATTCCTTTCCACTGCAGAGAGATTCCCATTGTCCACTAGATGGCAAATGGTGACAGCAACCTCAGCCCTCGGGACCGTGAGATGGGCTAAAACCAGCCACTGCAGGCTCAAAAATAAAACAGATTCAATCCTCTCACCCTGTTCCCCAGGAAGTAAAATCTGAGTGGGGATACAAAGCATTAGAATTCATTCTTTCAGGTTTCAAATCCAGTGGGATGTTTATTTTCACTTGTAATTACTCCCCAATTGGTTATTAAGTGATTTTTTTTATTTCTTTATGATTTTAATATTTCTCTCTTACATATTTAGATATATTTATGAAAATATAAAATTAAAATATAATCTTAAATATAAATATTATATTTATAATTAATATAATAGTATTTGGTATATTTTAAATAATTATTAATATTAATATTAATAATATTGATAATATTATAATCTATATTTTAGTATATAAATGTATTTCTATTTATATACTTTTCTGTATTCTATTATATAATGAGACACTGCCTTTGCATGGCCACATCCTCTGCTGGGTTTGTGTCCCTCTCACTCCTGCCATTCCTTTTCTCTGCCCTTTTTTGCAGCTGACCAAGAGGCAGTTCCCACTTCATTTAATTTTCTGAGGGTGTGTGCCAGGAGAGGATGGTGATTCAGACCTAGTCAAGGTTGCTCCAGCCGTTTTTTGTTGGGTAGAAAATCAAATGTAGCATAAAGTCAATCCTTTTGTAGCAGTGCTGAAAGAGGAGAAAACATCTTTTAAAAACCAGTTTGGAATTGCTGGGGTTGGAGCTGATGTGGGCACCAGGCTGCTGTGACAGCTCCTGACAAACTAAGCCATGGATCCACGAAATTCCCAATTTTGTAGAGACATTGAGGAGCTGCTGCCCCTGGACCCTCGTTTGCTTTGCCTCTTGTGAGCTGTTTTTTAACAGGTGCCAAGAAAAAAAAGCCATTTGGGTGTGCTGGTGAAACTCAGAGAGGAATCAGGGCTTCAGTTTGATTTTCCAGGTGAGGAGCCTTCAGCAGCTGCCCCGTGAGCGCTGTGCCCTGACCAAGGCACAGCTCCTCTGAGCACCCCAGAAAACAAAGCTGCAGAAGCCAGGGGGAACAGAACATACTTGTAACTTCTGCTGCAATTGAAGTCAAAATTAGTGAGGTGTTTGAGCCAGTTTCCCATAAAAAAGGATGGAAAAGACAAAATTCAATATTTAGCTGCATGGCAGTCAAAGCAGAGAGAGGCCTCTGACAACCTTAATTTACCCAGTATAATTCCAGTCACAGAGTTACAAAAAATAGAATATAATACACTTTCATCTTTGAATTTGTAAGTCTAAACTTAAAAAAGTATTTTTAATGAATCAATCTTCTCTACTGCTATGCACAATTTGCTTTCCCTTTCTGATTCCAGCCCTAACATTAAATAAACAGAGCAAATATTAGACATGCTTGTCTAATTTTTCCTCATGTTTTGCTGATGTGATTACAAGCTGTTGACTTAGTCATTAATATCTCATGCTGAGATATCAGCTAACACGGCCAGAAAATATTCCATCTC